AGAGAGAGAGAGAGAGAGAGAGAGAGAGAGAGAGAGAGAGAGAGAGACAATATCGTCCTGTGACTTGCATATGCTCCTAAGGTTTGATCATCATCTTATTTTGGCAGTCTTTGGTTTCCTTGCATGGAAGTTGCATCGTCTCTTGTATGCGGTCATCGACTACATGTAATATTCTCTTCGGCTTTCCACTGCAGTACCTCAGTTCTATTTCAGTTCGGACACGTTTTAAGATTATCATTGATTTTTGCGGAAACCCTCAAATCAGTGGACTTCAGTTTCAGCTCCATATCCGGTCTCACGAGTTCATAAGGAGCAGTTTTTTTTAAATTGTTTCCGGAGGAAATATGCCAACTTTTTTTAATGAAAGCTCTACGCCTAAGGCTCATTTTCACTCAGCGCGACCCATTCTTATAATCCAAACTCGTACCTCCTGGTGGTCATCTTCATTTTTTCTTCAGACTTTTCCCTCTTCAAATCTCTCATGCTAGGCAGCCTGACTACAGTAAAACCTGTTGAAGCCGGCTTGGAACTTGTCGTCATAACTATGTTAGTAAACGTTTTCTCTTTTGATCTTAGAAGAATAACTCTTTTCCTTTGAAGCTCTGTCGTGTTGTGAGTGAACTGGCCGTAAGCAGGCGTGGAGTGGTGTGTTCTCCAATAGCTTTTGGTGCCGAAACCCGGGACAATGCGTGACAGAGTAGGAATTTTTGGAAGTCGGAAGGAAATAGAAAGAAAGTGTTCGTGAAGAAAAAGAAATGTCTGTGAAGTTGGGTGGATTCCTGCGCCCGTACCGAGGGCGAGGTGACGACCTGGATGTATTCTGGTCGAAGTTCATGATCCTGGCGAAATGCCACACGTGGGATACGGGCAAGGAGCAGATGGCGAACTTGCCGTTGCTCTTGGCCAAGGCGGCGTACACGGTATTCAACGCCATGGTCGATTCGGATAAGGAGAAACCGGACGAGGAGAAGAAGGTGCTGACCGAAGCCTTTGCTCCTTCTGCTGCGGAGTGTTACCGCTTGTTCAAGGCGCGCTCCATGACATCAACGGAGTCCGTGGATAAGTACGCGGCGGAGCTGAAGAGACTGTTGACCAGCTCCGGTCATAAAGTTGCCGCGGACGACAAAGACCCCATGCTACTAGAACAGTTTGTTGGAGGCCTGCCGAGAGACTTTGCCAGAGAGGTGAGGATTCAGTGTTCTAGCAACAGCATGACTCTCGCGGACATGATAAAGCGTGTCAGGGCCATGTCCGTGGGTGACACTCTAAGTGTCGGTGGTGGGAAGTCTCTGGCTGCTGTGGTGAAGTGCTATTCATGTCAGGAAACAGGCCACATCAAGAGAAATTGCCCGAAGGCCAAGGGTAGCAGTCACAAGTCACGAGGGCCACAGTGTTACTCTTGCAAAGGGTGTGGCCACATCAAGCGGAATTGCCCAAAGCCCAAGACAGAGTCAGCTTCAGTGGCTGTGAGTGCTGGTCATTGTCAGGCTGGAGCATCTACAGATGGAATCCCAGTATTGGCGGGTGGGCAGAGTTCTAAGCTGCTGAAAGTTGACGTGTGCTTGAAGGGCTGTGATGACTCTTGGACGTCAGTCACAGCGGTCGTGGATACTGGATGCACGCGATCTCTGATGAAGGAGAGTGTAATGGCTGGTGTAGGCCTGGCTGATCAGGTGGAACCAACAACTGACTGGGTGGTTGGCATCGATGGCAAATCTCTAGAGTCAGTTGGATCTGTTGCCGCAACTGTCTGGCAGCAGGTAGTTCAGCTTACAGAACGGCTCAGCAAGCGCTATTCGATTCGGCAGAGGGCCCGACGTAGCGGCTGCTGCGACTGGTAATGCTGAACGAGAGCCGAAGCAGAAGCTTTCGAGGCACATCTCTGTTGAGCGAGATTCGGATGGTGTCACCCTCAGTTCAGCTGATTTCAATGTGCGCTGGGACAACAGCGCAAAGTCGTGGACCGTTAGCTGGGTCTGGGAAGGTGGTGTAGAGCCGACTGACAGCATTGGCGCTGGAGTGACGTAATACTCGCGGAAGAAGCTCTCTGCAGAGCAGGAGCAACAATACCAGAAGGAGGTGCAGTCATGGATCGACAATGGATGGATGAGGCCCCATGATCCAGATCGGGACGGCGAGCCAGGTGCGATTCTTCCACTTATGGCGGTGTGTCAAGGACACAATGCGTCTACGCCAGTACGTCCCTGTCTAGACTACCGTTGTCTGAATGGGTCAATTGTCTCTCATCCTGGAGGCGATGCACCCGCGTGTGACCAGAAGATTAGAGAGTGGAGGCGCCGTGGTGTTGACCTGGTGGTTGTCGACATAAAGAAGGCGTTCCTGCAAGTCCACGTCAACCCCAGCCTTGTTCGGTATCAGACCGTGGTGTTTCATGGAGTCACATACGTCATGGAGCGAATGGCATTTGGACTCAGTATAGCTCCGAAAGTCATGGATGCAATTGTGAAGTTTGCACTGTCTGACTTTCCTGACGCGGACAACTATGTCGACGATGCCGTTGCTCCGTCTGAACAACTCCCAGAAGTGACTGCCGCGCTGAACCAGTACGGGCTACCGACGAAGCCACCAGAGGTATTGACTGGCGCAAGAGTACTCGGCATGTAACTGTCGGCTGCTACACCAAATGAAGAGGTGACGTGGCGTCGTCGTGATGGTGTAGATCTGACGCTAACGAAGCAGCCAACGAAGCGAGACGTATTCTCCTGGTGCGGTCGATTGACGAGCCATTACCCTGTTGCGTCGTGGCTACGACCGTGCTGCAGCTACATCAAGCGGGTGAGCTGTGAAAATGCTGCTGTCTGGGATAAGCCTATCTCAGCTGAGCTAGAGAAGTTGTGCCGTGCGGTGGAGGATCAAGTTTCACGAGAAGATCCTGTCAACGGCAAGTGGACGGTGAAGTCGACTGGCGGCGTGACTCTATGGTGTGACGCATCTAACTTGGCGCTAGGAGTCGTCATCAGCGAGGACGGTTTCGTGATTGAGGATCACTGTTGGCTCCGGTCTAAGTCAGACAAGCGGCACATCAACATGGCTGAATTGGACGCTGTCCTTCGTGGCCTGTCCGCTGTCGTAGATCACGGCATGACCAATGTTCGGGTCATGATCGATTCGAAGACGGTACATGGGTGGTTGAAGTCTCTCTTCGGAAATATCCAGCGAGTGAAGGTGAACGGCCTTTACAGAGCTCTCGTGGAGCGCAGGTTGCAGCTGATCGACGACTTGATTGAGGTCTACAAGTTGAAGATATCTATTGAGTGGGTGCCCTCCCAGAAGAACCTGGCTGACCGTCTGACTCGCGTGCCCGCATCCTGGTTCAAGATACCCCAGCAACCGGAGGTGGCTGCAGCGACCGTGAACAGTGCGCGTGCAGGTGTCCACAGTTCTGCCCCACTTGCCTTTGATGTCATCCGGGACCGGCAGGGAGCTGATACTACCATCCAACAGACAATTGAGGATGTCAATGGTGTGCAGAAGGTTAGGGTGAAGCAGTTTCAGAAGGTGGCGCCACAGCTGATAGTACGGGATGGCGTGCTGTATCGATCGATCAAGTTGCCGCCTGCCAATGAAGCTTGCGAGGTGCCCGTGATTCCGAGCTCACTGGAGCAAGACGCCCTCAGAGTTGGCCACGAGAACACTGGCCACGGATCCTGGGAGGTCGTCCACCAGATGCTGCGTCAGCAATGTTACCTTCCTGGAATGGCGAGGAAGTGTCAGGAGTTTGTCAGTCTTTGTGAAAGCTGTGCTGCTGCGAACCCTGCTGCCGGTAGTCATGCTTCGCCGAAATGTCCTGAATTACCAGCACGCCCATGGCAAGTTGTGACAATCGATACCTTGGAGCTAGGACCAAGCCGAGCTGGATTCCACTGTGTCTTGGTGTGTACGGATATGTTCACGCGCTATGTGGAAGTGATACCTTTGAAACGCCAGGACGCCAAGTCAGTTGCAGAGGCGTTCGTGTCAGTGTGTTGCCGGTGGGGTCCGCCGGAGGTGGTCAGATCAGACAACGGGGCAGGGTTAGTCAATGCTCTCATGGAAGCCTTGTACCTGGCATTCGGAGTAGAGGTCAAGCATGGTGCGGTGCGACACCCGCAGTCTCAAGGAGGCGCAGAGAGATTCAACAGGACATTGTTGACCCTGATTCGCAAAGCGCACTTGCAGTCTAGTGACTAGAAGACCGACCTGTCGATGCTGCTGTATTTCTCCCGGGTTTCGGCACCAAAAGCTGTTGGAGAACACACCACTCCACGCCTGCTTACGGCCAGTTCACTCACAACACGACAGAGCTTCAAAGGAAAAGAGTTATTCTTCTAAGATCGAAAGAGAAAACATCTACTATCACGACAAGTTGGAACTTGTCGTACAAGTTGGAACTTGTCGTGATAGTAGACGTTTTCTCTTTCCATCTTAGAAGAATAACTCTTTTCCTTTGAAGCTCTGTCGTGTTGTGAGTGAACTGGCCGCAAGCAGGCGTGGAGTGGTGTGTTCTCCAACAACCGCTCAAGGGACCTTACACATGTGGTTCTCATTCACAAGTGGTCTTCTTATCCAGGGTCATTTGACTGGAAATAACATCCCTTGGTCCTAGTTGTAGTGGTCTTCCTGGACAGGTTGTCGCCCTATCGGAGTGGTCCCTTTGACAGGTTTTACTGTTTTCCAATCAAATGATCATGCAGCACTTCATCAGCATTCGAAGAATCAACACGATTATGTTACATGTACGCCATGGCGTGAAAAATATGTCACATTTAGAGCTGATCATTAAGATTGTCAGTTAAGCTACTAAAGGAGATCATTTATCATGATCGCTTCAGGCCCACAAGTGTGTGGCTATGCTTACCTGATTGACAACGTATGTTTCATCCATGACATTCAGCTGCCTGCAAGCGAGCAGCAGAAACAGAAACAAACACACACACACACACACACACACACACACACACACACACACACAAGTGCGTACACACACACACACACACACACACACACTTTTGTACTTGTTGCTCACTGCCAAAACTGGTCACGTGGGGCTCCCCGGGAGAGGGGAGAGAGACTCAAAAGGAATCTTGGAAAGATGACTCAATTGGCTATTGAACCGCCCAACGGCCGACACCCCCTGAAATCCCCAAAACTCTGGGTGGACTTGAAAATGATCCCACTTATGGGCTCACCACACCTCAGTAAGTGGGACACACACACACACACATACACACACACACGCGCGCGCGCGCACACGAGCACACACGCACACGCCCACACAACCAGCGACACCATTATGTATGCGAGCACATGTACAGTTTATTGTTCAGTACACACAGTGTATGCTGCTGCAGTAGAATAGTAGTCTGGGGTGCTTAGTATAATCTGACAAAATACACTACATGTACTTTGATCGATTTTTATTGATTTTTATTTCACGGATCCTCCAGAGGCAAATAGATGCCTATCGAAGGGAGTCTCCTAAGTAAGTATGGAAAATGAGAACGTTGAAGTACAAGCATGGATATCAGGTACTGAGTTGTGCGGGTCATCGATGAGTACACACAGTATCATCATTGACAGTCACACACAGCATTTCCCTGGAGTTGTCAAAAGACCTCGGTGTCTTCAGAATGCTCTGGAGACAGCTAGCAGCTGTTATCTCACCGATACGACGTGACATCTTTCAGGTAATTCGTTAAAACTTTGCCGCCCACATCAATCCTTTGCAGCAAAAAGTAACAAACACAAAAGCACACACACACACACACACACACACACAGATGTACACAATGCACACACACACACACACACACACACACACACACACACACACACACACACACACACACACGTGCGTGTGCACATACATACAAACAAACGGGTGACACACGATGAGAACAGCCAGACACTTAGACAGTGGAAGCGCCATGAGACAACAATTGTTATGCTTGATAGTCAGCGTTCTTCACAAAAGGACTCACTTTCAGCTGCAACTAGAACGCCATTGTTCAGTCACTCCACTATACCGTGCTCAATCACATTTTCAGATCGTTCTCAAAGGAGAGCAAGCTAGTAAATCGTATTGTTTCTGTTGCTCCCTGTGTCCGTGGGTCTGTGTTGTGCAAACATCTGCCATTGGTAGAAAGTCTCACAATCGTAAAGTGCATCAAAAATACATGTCCTAAGATGGAGAGCCAAGGTTTAATTTATACAAAAGAGAAAGACCAAGGAACTACAAGTTACGCTATACTGTCCACTAACACCACCAGTTACTAAACAATCAGCTCATGCGATAACATTGCACGACACTGATCGACGGTACTGACGTTCTACAACTAACTGGCTAACAGCTCTAGCACATCTTGGATGCGCACTCCAACAGCCTTCCAACTTGGAAGGTTTTAAGTTATAGAAATAACATAAGGAGGGGAAGGTGAGCGCAACCAAGACAAGCACGAGCTTGTTTAGTAACTGGTGGTGTTAGTGGACAGTATAGCGTAACTTGTAGTTCCTTGGTCTTTCTCTTTTATATAAAAATACATGTCCTGTTGTCATTCCTATAGCATGAGGTGCAAGGAGTCTTTACACTTCAAAAGAAGTATGCATACCCTCCGCCAGGAAGGGGCTGCATGCCATTTGCAAAGATGAGGGTATCATAGTCGGGGAATGAGACTCGCTTCTCAAAGCCAAATTCTAGCGCAGCATCCTTGTTAATGCTTCCACAGCCGGTTGGATGTGGTTATGTACTGGCACCTGGCCCCAAGTAGTTGTACACTATGTATTATATGCATTCTAGATACCCGCGCAGCTTCTAATCTAGTCTGCAGGAGACGAGATATCCGCAGGTCATGGTGTGACGAAGGGCTACTGATGTTATTGGTGAGTTTTGATGCATACTTCAGTACATGGTATTGCCTAGAGTGTCACATACTGGCACTTTAGTACATGGCATTGCACAACAATATTGTACCTACCGTAGTACCGCAGAAGAGATGACTTTGCCTTGTATGAACGGCAAGACGTGTGTAAACGAGTGGCCAACGTCCACCACCAGGCTGCAGAGGGTTGCCCTACTGGAACTGGCAGCACGGGTGCAGCTGCTGCCGCTGCTACTACTGTTGCTGCCGGTGCTGCTGCCATTGCCAGTGTCATTGCTGTCACTACTGCTACAGGCTACGGTGGCACATGCTTGCTGACTGTAACTATACGCACTGTACACAGGACCTGCGAGCGGAGCAGCACATGTATGGTGTGCAGGTATGGTGCAAACAACAAGACAATAAGAGAGGCATGGTAGAAACAATACGACCACAGGATGAAAATTTAATGTATATGTACCCCACTGCCATGTAATGTATACCCCATCTCAGTTACGCTCTCCCGGTGCTTACTTACGCACTCTTGGTCCCTCATATACTCTTGTTGATTCTCTTGTTTCTTTGCATACTCCTGGTTCAATCCCCTTTTGTCATGTACTTTTGTGACAATCAATCTTTCAAAAGCCATGGTAACAGCAATACAAGGACAGTAGCAGAAGAGTTCACATGGCACCAGCACCACTCACCCCAATGACGAACTAATGATTGGAATCGGTAATCCTCAAAGATGATCTCATCAAGCGCCTCCTGGAGTAGAACACAAATCAAAATGAACACGGCGAGACAACAGGGCTGAACACAAATCAAGACAGTTCTTGTGGAACAACAAGGCATGTTGACGACCCAATAGGAGACGTGTGTACTGTGCACTGTGTCTAGTCAGACTGCCTGTAACAGCCTGTAACAGCCTATAACAGCCTGCAATGTTTCAAGAACAACGACTCTGTACATTAGGGGAAAAACCAACAACAAGAGTACACGTCGATGTACAATTCTCACAGTAAAACGTAACTCCACTATGGACTAGAATAATGCTTTGAAGACTCAACATGCACCTGTCCATAGTCTGTAAAACTGGTCGACACACCGCTGAACATCACACGCTCCATCTATAGCTGCAAACAGTTCTGTGACATGTTGCAAATCCATGCTGTCTCCTCTCACCACGACCACCACCATCAGTTAGTGTCTAGCGCCTAGTCAATGGGCTAGGTGGTGAGAGAAGATGGTATGGTTTTGCAACATGTCACAGAACTGTTTGCAGCTAGGTCGAGCATGACTGTCATGTTCGGCGTGTGTTGACCGCCATTTTACAGTCCATTGAGTTACGTGAGTTACTTGCCATACACCAAGCTGTCCGGCATTTCCGACATTTCCTCGAAGGTCGTGAGTTTTTCATTCTCACGGATAACAAGCCAACAAGCCGCTGATCTATGCGATCTGAGTCCACTCATCCAGCCGCTCATCACGTAAATGCTGCCACGTAGCGTACATCAGTGAATTTACCACCGACTTACGGAGGAGAACAAAGGCAAGCGTCGAAGGTGATAGAGTTAGGAGATCGGACATCGTCCATCAAGGGTCATTTGTCGGGCACAACTTGCAGCTTCTGTTTTTGAGTTTTTAGCACTTTTTAATCATTTCTCACCTACAAGTATGTTTAAGTGTTGTCTTTTTTCTTTCTTTCTTTTTTACAAACTCTATGTATAGAGAATGAAGTTGAAGACACCACTGCAGCTGTACTTTACCACCATATTTATCATCTATGTATAGAAGAAGACAAAAGAACCAAGGAACTACAAGTTATGCTATAATGTCCACTAACACCACCAGTTACTAAACGATCAGCACATACGATAACATTGCACGGCACTGACCGACGGTACTGACGGTACTGTTATCGCATGAGCTGATTGTTTAGTGACTGGTGGTGTTAGTGGACAGTATAGCGTAACTTGTAGTTCCCTGGTCCTTTTTTCTTCTATAAATTAATCCTTGGCTCTCCATCCGAGTCCAAACTCTGTGTAGTTATGAGTTTTTCCAAATTTCCAACATTCCCTGTACTATCCTGAAGAGAAGGGAAAGAAACGTTTGATAAATGAAAGGAAGTGTCTACTTGATTCAAGTTGATTATGTGGATTTGCGTCTTTGCATGCGAAGGTATAGATTGCAAAACTATTTTCACCGCCTCCAAACTACCACATGTACTTCACCTGCTATATTCTATAACTTCACTTGCTATATTCTACACAACAAAGCTGTGTGTTTACAAATCGACACACACTATCAGTTACAGGGCCAGCCATATAGGCCAGGCTGGTGTTCACTCAAACTGGCTGCAGTCGGCCGCTAGGCCTGGCTGGATTGTGCTTTACACTACAGTCATGCACAGTGGCGCTCACTGAAATCCAACCCAAAGTGCAAAGCTGGCGCCCAGGACCAGTTTTGATCACATCGCCGTGTTCACACATGTGTACGTCCAGCAGTATCCATACCACTTCCAGGGCATCAAGGGCCGTGCAAGTCCAGGGTGCCAGATATGCACTTTGGGCTGGATTTCATCCAGCACAACTGTACTTCCAGCAACAGCAGCAGCAGCAAAAGCAGCAGTAGCAGCAACGGCACCAGCAGCAACAGCAGCAGCAACCGCATGGCTATATACCTGAATGCACGGGAAGTTGAAGACTGGCTCAGTTAGAGCCAGATGACACGACTCGGGCTTGATCTGCACAGCACACATACACGTATATGTACGTAAGCAACAGAAACACAACGGCAGTACATTGTACTGAGTCCACTAGCAACAATAGCAGCAGTCACAGTTGGAACGCTTAGAAGTTAGAACACAGTACGATCAAATCACTTCACGTCTACAACAGTAAGCGCACACACTCACTCACACACGCGCACATACACACACACACACACACACACACACGCACACACGTGCGCGCGCACGCACGCACACACACACACACGTACACACACACACGCACACACACACACACACACACACAGGATACCAGTATGATAGCATGATAAAACAGAACACAAACATCAGAAATGCTCTGCAATGCTTCAGTGCAATACATAGCAAACTAAACGGACATGAACTTGTGCACGCGTGTGCGGATAAGCACGCACACACATGGAAAAGCATGATCCTGGACAGGTCCGCCGTACCTTCAGGCAGTTCTTACTGAACATGTAGTCCCATATTACATGTTCAATATCCCAGTTTGTCATGTATCCCTGGAATAAGACCACACAGAGAATATGACAATACCAAAAGGAGCTGATCGAGTACCCAGTCTTTCCAACATCACAGACAACTGACCGGACATCAGACAAAATGAGATACAAGTACTGTAAATATACAAAATTTCGGCGCTGCAAAATTTCGGCATTTCACGATTTTTGACATTTCGGCGGCGATTTATTTTCGGCGTGGGGTAGACATGGTAGAGGGCTTGGTATAGTGCGACAGCTGCTGTGAAAATTTTCATCGGCGTTTTAATTTAGGCGTTTTGGGTCGGTGCCGAATATAGCCGAAATTAAATAGCTGCCGAAATTTGTATATTTACAGTACTTGAAGTGTAAGTTTAGTATAACAACACAATTACTGCATTAGCAGGCAATTTACCCACGCCCGGCGGCGAGTACATGTATAGAAGCCGGACACAGAGGATGTGCCACACGTTAGTGTAGCTGGTTCACAGACAAGGACTTCACTCATGTTTAAAAAATAGCTACATTATCGCACAGCCAGACCTGGCTCGTGTCCAGCTCTTGTCTGTATTTCTAATATTGACAGCATACCGCCGTACTGGTACATTCTAGTCGGCAAACAAATTCGACCCCCAGGTGACTTTGCTCAGGATACGGAATATTGCACAAATATTGTCTGCTGTGGTTTGGCCATGTGGTGCGAGAGGGTCCGGAATCCGCCTCGTTCCAAGCACTGGAGCTATCAATCAACACAAACGACATAAAAAAAACCGTGGCCGTCTGCCATTGCGGTGGATAGATACGATTCGGCACGACCTGAAGGCAGCGGATCTCTCCGTGGAGAGCGCTCTCCAAGCTGCAGGAGAAAGACTAACTTGGCTTGACACTGTTGACAGATGCGTCGACTCTGCTCCTGTCTAACAGGTTCAGGGAAGATGCGAGCTGTGTTTATTACTATTATTGTATACATGATAATGAGCATACCGACAATTACTGACCTTTTGAAAGGCACTGACATAGTATAGTCCAGATTTGTCCTTGCATTCGTCCAGCTCCGCACCGACAAATGTTCTTCTGCGCTCGGCTTTAGCTTTGGTCATGCAGTTCGGTACAACTCTGCCTTGGCAAGGGCATACGAATACACACAGGTACACGTGAGCATACAAATGCACACAAGTTGAGAGAGGTCAGTTCCCCACGGTCTAACTACCAGCCTAGCAGCTACACTGCACATGTAGTTCACAAATGTATACCAAGGTGAAAATACGGTGCACACACAGTTAAACAGCTCCACCATGCATAACGTTGTGCACCCCAGCATGCAATGCCAAAATCCTTGCGCAACATGCACCAACGCAATGCAATTCAGGAGTGGAAACCCTAAGTTGAAAAGACCGCGACTTGCTGCTTGCCAGTACATGGCCTTGCAAGAGCAGAAATCCAGGAGCAGCACCAAACACCAAACACACGTCACTTTCAATGCACTCAGGAAATATTCGAGCATTTTCGACCGAAGGGACCGATGTCGCAACGGACATCGCGAATATTGCTCCTCGTACCGGACCAGGACACTGGGGTCATCGCAAAGGTTGGTCCTGTGAACAGGGGGACCGCAGCACCCCGTCCGGCCCCCCGTCCGGCCGGTCACACCTTTCTCCTAAGTAGTTGACCCACCCAATTCGTTCAAAACGGGGTTTTCGTCCACAATGTTCGTTTCCGGCCAAGTATCCCCCATGATTTGTCCGGGTCACCTGTAACCCCAGTGCCACGGCCCTGATGACGGTGAGTATGATTTCCTGTTTCCCATAGGGATATGGCTTACCAGAGTTCCACCATATTCCTTTGCACAATACAATGTAGTCCACTCCTGATTTCACACAGGGTGATCCACAGTTGCGTGGTGAGGTCACATACGTCCCTTGTTTACACGTTCTCCATTTTATTATTAATTCCTGGCTTGGGCAGCAGAGCTATCGACATACTGCTGTACAAGTCTACTTTGAATTGCATCTACTAGTGCATTGTACTGTGCTATAGTATGTTAAAACTCACCTAGGTAGGTCAGAGGATGCCAGCCCAATTTTAGCGGTGTATCCTCCGTTATCGAGCACAACTACTTTTTTTTCTTCCATTTCTCCGTGCGCGCTTGCACACCAGTAAAGTAATTATAAGGAATCTCCTCGAATAGTATAACCAAGGACCGATATGCAACAACAATCTGCCGAAATTGGACAATTCAATTCTTGTTTCTCAGCTGGTCAAGCATGGGATGCTTTGCTACAACCACAGGGGGCCGGATAGGATACTGCATACTGCTTTTCTGTCTACCACAGCTGAAAACGTGCCTCCAGTACCCGCACAATATACAATATAGAGACTTGCAATATATGTAGTACATGTATTATGCAATTTGTCTGAATGAAAAGTCAAAGCGAAAGAAGTCAAAATGTTTGTGATTTCAAACAAGAAAGCATGACGTCATTACCGTACACGTGGCCCCAGGTCCGGAACTCCCGGCCGGGATCTGATACAAAAATGTAACCCTTTTTTCGTGAAATACAGTTCTAAAATGTTCTTGTTTCCCGGCATCCCTGTTTCTTTCCTCTGATTATTCTCTGCTTTTTTGTTCACAGAACAAAATCAAAATACATCATGAACAGGGAGTCGTCAAATACCATTATTTGACGACTCCCTGATCATGAACCACTGGCCAGTGAACACCTCTTTGCCGAAAGCGGCTACACCATGTACTCCGGGGCTTGACGCTCAATTCATAGCAGCTATCCGTAATTATCAATAAATAAATAAAATAGCTCTCCACACACCAGTAAAACATGCAGCACCATGACAAGTCGATCTGCGACTGCCAAAATATTCTACTTTGTGAAGAGAAGTAGACCCACTAGTCGTTCACAAGTTCACCAGCAGTCACAGAGCAACTGAAGATATTTACCCTGCTTCAGACTGTATTCACCAAAGTTATGCATTCCACGCACTTAATTGCCAAAGAGAGGCGAAAATAAGAAATAATACGTGCATTAGAGACCAACAGAAAGAATATGAACAGAAAAAACCCAACAAGGGTAACATTAAAATTATTAGAAGGGTCTAAATAAGGTAGGACTGCATGTGTTCTATGAGTGTTTCATACACGATGGTAGCATACAGTACGGAGCAGGCTTTTCTTTCCAGAAGACCACTCAAATCTGAAACACACACACACAGGAAAGCAGAAAACGGAAAATGAAAAATTGAGCGACATGATTACACCACGAACTATGGATCACTTTTGCTACGGACAGAACTCACTCTCGGGGCATGTTCTATTGGTAGGATCGGGATCGAGATCGAGATCTCAGATCCTTCCAGAGTCAACTGAACACTTTATTTTGGGCCTTGGCTGTTGCCATGTTGACGAAGTAATGAAATGGCGTTCACATGTCACCCAAAAGGGTGAAAGTTGTACTCATAGCGCACGCGTGTCGTACGAAAATTCGAAGTCAACAAGATCTATCTCGGTCCACGTGTGTGTGTACCACAATGTGTACAAAAATGATTTTTACCTGCCAGATACGCACAAAGGTCACATTTGGATCCGGTTAACCCTGCTCCCCGAGGTGGGTTGACCGGATCCAAATCCGAAGGATCCGGATCCGGATTCGTCCAATCGAAAGGGTGCGAATCCAGTGGATCCGGATCCCGATCCTACCAATCGAACATGCCCTAGGAATTTCACCTCTAACTGCTCCATACTGCAATCAGTAGAGCATAGCAGTAGATGTAGAGCAACACATGCATTGGAATTGCTACACCAAAGCCAAGAGACAAGTGAATGCAGGGCATCGAAACACCATGTGCACAAGAAAAAAGAAGCATCAACAAGTCAGCAACAGCTTGCAGGCACACTTACAGCATCAATGTCATCCACCTCATCATCCTCGTCGTCTGCGTTATCATCAAAGAGAATGTCTTCTCCATCATCTGGACCGAACGTTGATGTTTCATTGATTTTGGCTATAAACACACAGACATAGACACACACAGACACAGACATACACAGACATACACAGACATAGACACACACAGACACAGACACACAGATATAGACACACAGCATTAAGCTACGAGAACAAGAAAGTCAAACTGGAAAACATTCTGCTGGGTAACATCTTTCAGAAGGAGCAGAACTACCCGTAAGTATCCAAATGAATTTGGTGCCAAGCATGCCAAAAGAATCACTGGTCTCACAAACCCTTACCTGTTTCTGGCAGCTCTCCGTACGCCTTCAAGTTACGTGCTTCATCTGAGTTGTACTTGAGAATTACGTCAGCCTTGGAATCCTGCAGCAGCAACAGTGTGCCAGCAGAATCAGTGCACAAGACACAGACGGTGCATGAGTGTGGATGCACTAACGTTGTGCAGCGTGAAACAAATCCGAGCAAAAACAAAGTCAAGCAATAGTCTATCCTAGTTCCAGATGATGAACTTGCTGAATTGCCATATCAACTACCAATGGTGCACGGACCCCTTATGTTATGAGTACAGGACAAAAAAAAACCCATGATCATTGACAATGACACAGTGATCTGCTATCCCATCAGAATGAAATCAGCGAGCTCCCCAAGAGATGCCAACACACAGGTGTGACTCAGCGGTATCGTACTTTAGTATGTTCCCAGGAGATATGTAGCTGGGGACCATTGCACAGTCTGAGTCATTTTGAACTTCCATTTCTACCACTGAACTGTTGAACTGCACCATTCCATGCCACACACACTGTCTTTTTTTTGCTAGCCCAATCTGTGTACATGCATAGTAGACTTTACTCTCGATCTAAAAAAAACTGCACACATTTCAAGCCGATAACGACTGACATGATTGATTCACACACCACAGTAATTACGGAGTAATCGGTAAAGTCGCTTCAGCTCTACTTCAAGTAAATCCACACCCCATGCAGCAAAAAAATACTTCCATACTTCCCGAACCATAGGAGAGGAAAGCAACATAGACCAACAGACTCTCCCCCTCCCCTCCCCCCTCTCTCTCGGGAGTCTCAGGGGGCAATTGCCACACCTACCTGATAGTCTCTCAAGCCAATAAGGATGATGTCACCTTGATTAATCCATACCTATACAGTGACACACCCAGTGGACAGGAAAACAATCCGCTAAGGACTTGTAAAACTGGTAAAAGGATAGAAACACAGCTGTGACACAAATGAATTTCCGCGCATGCCCCAGTCCAAGTACTGGACTACCATGCATCTGATTTGGGCGGCGGTCACGAGGACAGCGACGACAAAGCAAAACAACTGCTAAGGAGATAACATGACCATTAGAGGAATACATACCTTCTTTCTTAGCTTTCCACGGATGTGACATAACCGCTTTACGCCATCAAAGCAGAGCGCCTCGAGTCTACCGTTACCAAGCATCTTGGTGACCTGCGCATACTCTGCAGTCAAAGAAATATTGTGAAGCAGTAGAAAGTTCAGCTGTGCATGCTCCTTTACTGCAATTGACACGGACAGGTCAATTCAACTTGGTGACCTATGCATCAAATGTTGGGATTATTCTGTGCAATCTTCTATTGTCTGCAAGAGGAACAACCATCACTTGTCGCACGGTGACTAATGAAGGTGCACACGTCTTGGAACATCATCTCCATTGGCTTTCAACCTGGCATGGGATGTCATAACACATGATAACTAAACACCGCAGCATTTGATCCCGTAACCAGGATCTAAGTTTTGTTTTCTCGGTGCTTTTAAAAAAAACACCGAGACCATGCAATGTTCTATTAGAGCAATCGCCATGGTCTGTGTGCCAGTGGCTAACGAAATACTTCCAAGAGACTAGTCTTCCCACGTGAAGGCATGAATGTAGCCGAATAGCATAGGACAAAGTGGACGAACAACAAAATCAGGGAGTGATCCGGTGTGATCAACGATGATTAAACTTCTCAGCACAGAGACTTGACTCTTACCCTCAGTTATGCCCAAGGACCAATCAGTGGAAATTTAGAAACACAAAATCAAGAACATGTTTTGTCATTGCCCATCCTCCATAGCCCAACAGAAGCCGACTACTGATATTGCAGAACTCTAATACTAGTAGACTATTATATAGACGGAGAAGACACCGAGATGGAAGGCACTCAGCAAAATTGAAGATTCGACATTGGAACCGTATCGTAAACCAAAACCTCTGCTTGTACAGTACGTCAGATTACGAATCTACAATAGTACAAGTAATTCTCTTCTGTACACACCATTGCCCATGCAGCTATATAAACATTTGAGAATATACCTCCTCAAAAATCTAAACTCTGCACAAGAGATAGAGATACGAAATTGAGAAACTTCAACAAAATATTATTATTTTCTCGTCAATGTGCTTCTGATCATAACTGAAATGAAACATCGCCGTGGAGTACAAAATGGCAGTAAGGATAACTAAGTTTTACCTTGGCCATCCTCCTTGAAGACTAGCTCTCTCTTGTCATTGTCGTTCTCGTTCTTTCCACGACGACGATTCTTTCCTCCCTTTCCTGGAATACAAAGAAAAGACGATTCATGGACACTCTCCAGCTGACAGGGAGTGCGTTGCTCGCACAAAAACTAATAGATGCTCCATCGACACTCTCCAGTAGACGACCAGCGAAGGCCGCACACAGACACAAAGCCTACAGAGGCTCACATACCTTTATTCTTCGGCATGACTAAAAACTGTACTGCTAAAAACCCAGAATGAAAGGCTTGCAACGCGAAGGAAAGCAACCACGCTGTTTTACCCAGTCTCGCTCTCAGTTGTTTGCCTTTCGACTTGCATGCCCGTGAGTCGTGTCTCCGCCGTACTGATTGCCGGGTGACTATGTGCCGATCAACAGTGCGACGTTCCCAAGATGATTACGTCAACTACTCTTTCAGTTATTCTGACGTCATCAGCATTACCGGGTATACCGGTAGTTCAGCAGATCAGATGATTCAGATCATGATGAATCAGACAGTGAGATGCCGGTAGAACTACATCTACGTCTACGACCAAGAGTACATAACCCCCCGTTATGTACTCTTGCTACGACTCGTACATCATGCACAGTCAGGACTCAGGACTCAGTAGTGGGATAATCATGCATGCAGTCATTATTGTACATTCCACCAAGACTCAGAAAGTAACAAGTAGTTGCCAAGACTCGGGCAAGAGTACATAAACCGATGTACATGTACTCTTGATTCCACTCACGAGTCACGGATAGATTTCAATTTTCAGTGCAAGGCTGCAAGCCATTTTGTTGTCACAGAACATGTCATAAATAATGTACAATACAAAGTCATGTACTCAGTATGCTGCTACAGCGCTCGAAACGAGGTGACTCATGCCTAAAACCTTGAAAACTAAAAGTAAAAAGTCAAGGCAGGGCTAACCAGGGACGGCGGGCGGGTCCATGACATAAGAGGGGGGGGGGGGGTACTAGTATCGATGGAATACTACTAGTAGTACTACGAGTTGAATTGTTTGCAGGCAACCTCAGCCTACACTCAAGAGAGCACTGCATTTCACACAAATCCATTGGTATCGTTACAACGTTTCGGTCTTTATGACCATCATCAGGAATGAAGTGGACATGGAAAGAACAGCAGTATAAAAGAAGGAGGCAAGCAAGCAAAGCGCGGTACATAGTGACAGCGCGCGTACGCGCGTAGAGAAGTGCAAAGCGCGTCATGGCGGGTGTGCATTACTACATATACATGACAACACAAGCACAAACGGTGAGGAAAGTAGATACTGCGCTACAGCAGTGATAACAGCCCAGTTCCAGTCTCACACCACCAGTGAGGTGTCTAGAGCCCCGCGCCACTCGCAGTAAGGTGGTGTTATAGCAGATCCCAGCCACTGTTATTGTTAATTTCCGGGGATCGCTCCCTGATATTGATGGCCTCCCGGATCCTCCTCCTGGGGCGGTCACGCTCAGAACCGAGAACCCGGATACCTGAGAAAGCCGTTGCTCCCAATGGCAATGGGTCAGATGCATGCTTGGCCGCGAAATGCTCACCCAGCGCGGTGCCGCTCACTGTGTTGCGTGCGTCGTCGTTGTGTTCGTGACAACAGCTTCCCTGAAATGTACGGTCTTCCAAAAGACCACAAGTCCAATATTCCTCTCAGACCAGTCGTTGCGGCCTGCGGCAGCCCAGTTACAAACATCTCCATAGTCCTCGAACGCATCCTCAATCAATGTCTCCAGTTCGTGCCAGCACACCTGGAGAACACTGTTGAAGCACTCCAGTGTATGAGGAGCGCGTTTCCCAACCTCAAGGCCCCGCCCGGCACCATCATTGTGACTATGGATGTGGTGGCCCTTTACCCTAGCATCCCGATTAACGATGGCATTGCAGCAGTCATGAGAGTCCTCCGACAACACGAGGGCAGCATCGATCTGTTCGGTTTTCGAATTGGGCAGGTCAAGGAGCTCCTCGCACATGTGCTGAGCTCCAACTACTTCCGGTTTGGAGCGCAGGTGTACCACCAGAAGGATGGTGTGGCTATGGGCAATAACCTAGCGCCCCCCTTTGCCATCCTGTACATGCATGACCTAGAGAGTTCGCTCTTGCGTAGTGCACCTGCCAGCCCAGTTCTGTACAAGCGCTACATCGATGATGTTTTCATTGTGTGGAACCTCGGTCCGGAACTTCTGCAGAGTTTCCTAGATCACTTCAATAATGCCGATCCTAATATTAAATTCACTCACCAATCCACGGAGTTGACTGGCTCAATCAATTTCATGGACACGACCGTCCATGTCTCACCAGATGGATCTATATCCTATGAACTATACCGCAAGCCATGTCACAGCGGACTGGTATCAGACTACAACTCGTCAGTTCCCAACCAGCAAAAGAAAGCAATTGCTTCCTCTGAGTTCCTGCGTGCCGTCCGCCTATCCTCCGATGCCGACACCCTAAAAAGAAGTGAAGAAAAAGTAACCAACATCCTAAAATTCAATAACTTCCCAGAGTCAGTTATAGTTTCGGCACGTGAACGAGCTATGCGCCCCCGACGTGTCAGAGTGCAGAATGAATACCGTGTCACCCTCAACCTACCGTTTCACACCGAGTATATCCACAACAAAATTCATAAATTACTCCGGAAGTACAAGATAAATGCCCAGCTGATTTACAGGAACCGCCGACTAAGTTCTATGATTTGCACGTCTGCCCTCCGCAAACCACCATGCCGCAGGTATGTAGACCCGTCCAGGCCCCGTAAACGGGGGCGGCCCAAAGCTGCTTGTGTCGCCTGCATGTCCGGTTCGGGGGCATGCACGGAGCGAAATGTTGTATACCACCTCGAGTGCAGGTGTGGTGATAAATATGTCGGAGAGACGTACCGCAGCCTCGCTACCAGGACAAAAGAACACAACGACGACGCACGCAACACAGTGAGCGGCACCGCGCTGGGTGAGCATTTCGCGGCCAAGCATGCATCTGACCCATTGCCATTGGGAGCAACGGCTTTCTCAGGTATCCGGGTTCTCGGTTCTGAGCGTGACCGCCCCAGGAGGAGGATCCGGGAGGCCATCAATATCAGGGAGCGATCCCCGGAAATTAACAATAACAGTGGCTGGGATCTGCTATAACACCACCTTACTGCGAGTGGCGCGGGGCTCTAGACACCTCACTGGTGGTGTGAGACTGGAACTGGGCTGTTATCACTGCTGTAGCGCAGTATCTACTTTCCTCACCGTTTGTGCTTGTGTTGTCATGTATGTAGTAATGCACACCCGCCATGACGCGCTTTGCACTTCTCTACGCGCGCTGTCACTATGTACCGCGCTTTGCTTGCTTGCCTCCTTCCTGCTGTTCTTTCCATGTCCACTTCATTCCTGATGATGGTCATAAAGACCGAAACGTTGTAACGATACCAATGGATTTGTGTGAAATGCAGTGCTCTCTTGAGTGTAGGCAGGTTGCCTGCAAACAATTCAAGTATAATGAAGCTGTGTGAAGCGTCCTTCAAAATTTTGAAACAGTACTACGAGTATTATTATTATTACGAAGTAGTGGTTGCGACCTCGGCGATGATTTGTAAGAAAAGGGTTTGCTCCCCACACCGGAGCTCGCGGTGTGGGGAGCAAACCCTTTTCTTCTTCTTCTTCTTCTTATTATTATTATTAAGAAAGGGTTTGCTCCCCACACCGGAGCTCGCGCTATTCCGCCGACTTTACTTGACACTTGACTGACTCACGACTGCCAAGTCGTGAGTCAAGTGTCAAGTAAAGTCGGCGGAATAGCGCGAGCTCCGGTGTGGGGAGCAAACCCTTTCTTACAAATCATCGCCGAAGTCGCAACCACCACTTCGTATTGTTGTGCCCAGCGCAGGCTTGCGACTAGTTGGTTTGGAGGTGACAGCGTTGCGAATGACCCAGGGTCCTCAACGTCTGGTCTCACCGTCCAGGAGCGACACTGACTCACGCTGCTATCTGGTGTTCACGAGGTGTTTGTCGCGCTGGAAATGGAGCGTCTCTGTAAGTTTGTATCCCTGGTGATGTTTGTGCCTGGAGAGCACTATATAAGTGGTGCTCTTCAGGCACAATCTTCCTCAGCCTACTCAAGCTCAACTGATGAGGGGTGAATTCCCCGAAACACTGTGTATTGAGCAGGGAGTGGTGCTTTCTTGCAGGTTTGCCGAGTCGAAGGTTCGATGGACTTCTCGTGTGCTCTGGATGGCAGTCGTGAGTCAGTCAAGTGTCAAGTAAAGTCGGCGGAATAGCGCGAGCTCCGGTGTGGGGAGCAAACCCTTTCTTACAAATCATCGCCGAAGTCGCAACCACCACTTCGTATTATTATTATTATTTTATTTATTTTACTAGGGTGTTTCCCACAGACCTATGGTCTTCTTACGGGAGCCCCTAGAAAGGTTAAGCATGAACGAACAAATGGGCGATAATCTGTACAAGAGCGAACAGTGGAAGGCAGCATATTCCACCGATCAGAACCTATGTAGCCAAGACGAGAAAAACCAGCTTTAGTGTGGGCAGAAGGCAAGGCCAGAGAAAAAGAGATTTGGGACCTAGTGACGGCAGTAGTATGTGCACTGGAGGAGCGGGCATGGAAAATTTCTTTTAGGAGGGAGCTACATGTGCCGCTATGGACAGAGCGAAATACAAGAATAAAAAGCTTCAAATTGACTCGGACAGAAATGTGAGAGAGATTGCATAGGCTAAGAATATGAGAGGCACTGGTAAAGTTATCGAAACCAAAAACTATTCTTAGACACCTGTTAAATAGCCGGACATACTTATCAAAATAGTAAGAACTGAGGGTGTGGACGTATGCGCTACTTGCATACTCCAATGACGACTGAATAACACTAAGGTAAAAGCTACGCCGTGCGTGGAATGGCAAGAGATGTCTTGACATGCGGTAGGCGCCGAGTTTCCTGTTGACAGACCCAATCAAACCGTCAATTTGTGGCCCAAAAGTCAGGTGCTCGTCAATGACAATGCCAAGATAGCGTGCGGACTGCGCTCGAAGAACATGGACGCCGTCAATGACGACACTGGCGGAACCAGGCACTGCTGTTGTCTTTCTGTGAAGGAGGAGGAACTTCGTCTTTGCTGGGTTCAGCGTCATGCGCTTCTCTTCCAGGTAGACAGATAGCTTGGCCAGATCTCCGTTCAAAGCTCCGATGACTTCCTCAGCAGAGTCACCAGCTGCATACATATTAACATCATCCGCAAACTGCAGAACTGTGGAACTGTTGACGCATGAGGGAAGACCACGGACATAGTATTGCAGGCGACTAGTATTGCAGGCGCTACATGTACATTATACATTATACTGTACTACAGGTACATGACTGAATTACCGGTACTTCAAAAGGCTTATATTTATTATTGTGTATAGTCAGTTTATTTTTTTTATTTCATTTTTACTGCTTACAACTCCAACAGACGGCCTCTTTTACGGGGCAAAATGATGATGAGAAGCTAGGCCGGTGTGATCACTGAGGGTATGATAGGAAGATAATAACACGCAGGTGTGGAAAATAAGTCTCAGGCCAAACTAAAGAAGGTGTGTGGTTCGACTCACCCGACCGACCGTACAATTTCAGCCCGACCGTAACTTTTTTTCGGCGGGCTGTCGTGTGACTGACGTACGTGGACTGAACACGTCCACGTCTACGTGCTGTGCGGCGTGAGTCTGCGGACGCAGGCGGCTCCTTTTGGACTTGACTTGTAGTTGTACGAGTGCAGTGCAGTGAGTGGTACGACTGCTGCCTTGTGCTGGTAGTAGAGTCTACTCGATACGCGTATACAGTGTACATGTATTTACATGTACTAAAAATATATATTAAAAAAAAAAAAATCCGCCCGCCCGCCCGTAAAAAAAATGTCCATGTTAGTCGAACCACACACCTTCTTTAGTTTGGCCTCATGGAGAGTTTTACACTAAAACACAACTGGTTTACAGTCCATTCAGAAAAAGATGGACTTCTAGCTTTTGGCCATAAATGGGTCAAACGTTGAGTTTTTTTAGAATTTTTTTCTGCAATCCTTTATGGAATCCTCTTCCAATTATGTTTCTAAAGTCTATTTCTCCAAAATGCAAGCCGTAACAAGAATAGTATTTCGGCCAGGTTTTGCCCCAAGAGCAATGAATTGGGAAAGACGGCATCAAAATCCAGGCCGTTTGATCCTGCCTGCAACAGTGCATTGTCCGGTTCGAACCCCAGTTCAGGTACCCTTTTTGGACCCTTTTTCAAATTTCACAGCACTGCACTGTGTACGATAAAATCTTGAAAATTCGCCAAATACGGGAGCTCGCCAGAGCCAGGGCCCATCTTTTTGTGAATGGACTGTAGGTCCGGCTTTCAACCACCGCCAGCTCCCTGGCTCGTTAGCTGGACGATGGTATGCAGACCGAGACCCACGATCGACAGTACGAACACACATGCTTGACGGCGGACTGGAGCAGCGCGAAAGACAGCCTGCAACACACATATGCAACATGGTGGGCATAGGGCATGCTGGAATCAGCAAGAACCTTTCGCAGTCATGGCAGGCAACACCAGAAGTTGAGAACCGTGACGAGGGGGCTGAATGTGCCACGATTCACGTTGACTCCGGATTCTTTCCCCGTACGAGTACTGCAGCTTCTTCTGGCGCTTGTGCTGAAGCAGTAGGGCATCCAGTGGTTGGGCCGAGTACGGCGCCGCATCAGGATGGAAGACACGAACGTCAAAGAAAGCATCCTGTGCTCGGGTCCAGAAGCCACGGGCACGGATACTGGCTCTGGTATCCTCGGCTCTCTCACGTCAGGCTAGCTGAGCCACAAAGTCTCAGGAACGATGTTGCCACTGGCTATCGTGCTGGTGGATGATCTCATCAACCTGGCTGCACGTGATAATTTGGGCAGCCTGCAGTTGGGAGGTAGCGATTTCTTTAAAGCGTGGCAGACCGATCCCACCGAGCCGACAAGGTAGCCGCAGAAGAGAGAGGTCATCCGCCGGAGAACTCCAGTGTACGAAGGAGATATGTCCATCGACCACGCAGCCCGTTTGTGAGGGCGGCATACGCCGCATGAGGTTCAGTAGTGACAATCTCGGACAGTCACAGAAGCTCCTGCTGCCAGTCTCGAACTTTCCCAGCTGTATAGCCAGCGATGAAATCAGGTGTCCTTATGAGGGCACCCAGGTAGCGTTTTCCATCCGTGACGACTTCAATGCCAGTTCCTGCAAAGACACTGTGGGCCAGGTTGAGCAAGTCCGGCTTGACGTGGAGGAGAGTCTTCGAGGCATTGCCATGGTAACCCGAGTCTCCCAGTCTCGTCCACATCATCCCACCAGCGTAGGGCATAGAAAACCATCGACAGAGGGTCACCTTGTGTGGTACCCTCTGCAGAGGAAAGCTCACCACCGCCAGAAACGAAGAGGCGGGCATCATCTTGGTAGCAGTTCAGCAGTGTGATAGCCAGGGAAGGACACAAGTGGCGAACATTGTGAAGGGCTGATTAATTGGCGGTTCAGGCAATTGAGAGCCGGCAACACATTGATACGACTCCCTGCTTATTAGCTTGCTTACTTGGCCATGGCAATTGGCATCGCCATGCCATGGGCATGGGCCTACCCTAGCCTACTACTACATGTATACAGCCTTTTAGTTTTAGTTTTACACGATAATACTACTTACTAGCCTCCAAATTTTCATGAAAATTCGGAAAAGCTACTTTTTTGGTTTCTGTGGCGACGGTAGCTATTGTTGTCATGAGAACTGTCTGAAGAGAGCTGGTGCTGCTTCTGTGTAGTATCGACGCAGCGAACGGACCGTGAGTATGCCTGCAGTCAGACACACAGCTGCGGGTTGTGTTTTAGTTTTCCATCGATTGAGATCCTATCTTAGAATGAAGGCGTATGAAGGAGTTCCTTCTGCCGTAACTAACTTCAGGTTGAATATTTACTGCAGTGGTAGTGCTAGTGTAACTGCGATCAGGACTAGAGATCGTGCTGTTCACGCTGAAGAAGCTTGACGCTAGGCTAGTCACCATTCGAGTGTGGACAGCGAGCAAGCTTTACTCTCGTAGTGCTGCAGTAACCATGTACCAAGTCTTCCGACTGGAGAGTGTAGCAGCTATAATTATTTGAAAATTCAAACAGAACTTCTTTGCTAGCGCTCGGCCTGACCGCTGTAGTTCTGCAGCTGGGCATGCAGTAAGAATCGCCTAAAATCAGCTACGACCGAACTGGCGACAGCACGTCACTGCGGACCGGTGCGTGCCTCCATTCAGTCATTGCCAGATCAAACACCACCCAGTCGTGTGACTGTCTTACATAATGTCATTGGATTAGTATTCGATGTTCAGACTCAGAGGCGAGCTGTCGGAGTAGACTAGT